GCCAAGGCCCTGCAGCAGGCTCTGAGGGTGCACAGCTGAAGGAATAAACCAGCTCCGTTCCCCCAGCAGAGGAACCAGTGAGGTCCGAGCAGCCTCTGACTTCTCCGGTTGCCATCAGCAGCTGTACTGCTCCACACCAGCGCTTTGGGACGAGCTGGAAGGGCAACAAAACTAGAACTCAGAGAGCAAATGATGAAAATCAAACTCTGGTCAGGGCTCTGGTGAAGGGAATTATGAAAAATCTGCCTACGCCACGAAGGATATTTCTGTAAATTGATTCATGTGTGCTAGAGAAATTCACCTCGTGTCCCTGTAGATAATGAAGCTGATTCAGCCGAATCTGTGCTACAGATTTTGAGTGTGGCGTCTTAGCTGAAGCCTAAGATAGCAGGGAGTAATCGCAGCAATGACAAAAACTTGAAATTCAAGTGTCTGTGTGCTTCATCTTTACAAAATCTCTCTCTCTCGTTCAGCAGCCTTTGCTGAGCGACGCCCGTGCTGTCAGCCTGGATACCACACCTCCTTCCCTGGAGAAAAGGCGTTGGACACGTGGGCTCTAGGGGCGAGGGGGCAGAGGCAGCATCGCCACAAAGGCAAACTAGCAGAGCTGCTCTGGGTCTTACCACCAAGGCGCAGGGGCCCCCAGCCTCCCTACCCGACGTCCCCTGTTCCCGCCGTCCCGCGGGTGAGCGTTAACGAAGCAGCCGTGGTTTAAGCCCCACCATTGATGGTTTCTGCACGGCGTACGCCCTCGGGAGCAATCCCCTGCTGCAGGACACAACGTGGCCTGCCGGGCGCGGGCTGCTTTGCTCCATGCCCTTTGCTAGGCTAGATGCCGAGAACTTGGTTGCAACTTTGCCAGATATGTCGGGGTGGAGCGCAGTGACAATCTGTCCCAGCTGCAGGCTCAAAGCTGTCTTTGCCGCCCGCCAGGCCTGCACGGGCTGTCCGGGGCCATGAGATGGGCTGCTTCCATTCTGGCTTTTGGGTAGCCCCAAGAAGATCCTGTTCGTCTTTCAGCGTGCTTCCCCCTGCTCCCTGGCCCCTTCCCTGCCCAGTGCATGTTGATCACAGCAAGGCCTGAGAAAGCTCTTATAAAGCTTATTTTATCTTTACCAGAAGAATGTTAAAAAGAATAAATGCTTTGAGCTTTCACAGATTTTTTCCTTGTTTCCAGGAGGAACTGTGAACACACTACAACTCTCAGTAATGCTTTGTACCTAAGGAGTAGAGGGAGCACCAAATATGAAAACTGTCTTCTCTGCCATACTAGAGAAAAAAACAGTTTTATTCAAGGAGTCGGTACACTTCTAAGCAAATATTTAAGTGGCTGCAGAAAGGCTGCAAAGCTTTGTTATCAGTGAAAGGAAAAAAAAACCCCACAAGCTGTGGGTGAGCGATGCTCCTCCCCATGTGATCTGTGTGGGGAAGTGTGTTGCTGCTCAGGGTCAGCCCCCAGCTCTGGTGGACACCATCGAAAACATCTGGCCCGTCCAAGCAGTGGGCTTTCAGCACGGTTTCATCCTGGTGCCCAGGAGGGGAACCGAGTGGCTTTGTCCATTGGGATCAGTGAACCCTTATCAAGTTTCCTGCCTCAGGGTATGGTCCCAAGCCAGGTGGTCCCCAATGTGCCAACAGCTGGATTATCTGGCTGTACAAATTCAGTCTGCAGGAGGACACAACGCGGTGTGTTTAAGGAGTTCTCCAGGAGCGCTGCATGGTCTTTATGTTGGCATAACGTAGTGATCTTTAATCTCATCATCTGTTACAACAAATACTGTTCCAGGATGCACAAAGCTGGCAACATTCAGCAACCTGAAGCCAGCTGCAGGAAAGACAAAAGATCCACCCACTAAGATCCACACAATGGCTGTGCCAAGAGCAGAGCACCCAGGCTTTCTCAGAAGGAAAACAACATAAAAGGCCACCAGACCAGTGTCTTCTGATGCCAGGTCTTCGTTGTGGCTTTCAAGAACAGTGTTGATAACTGTAAATGTAACAAATGTAACATGTAGGGGATGTTATCACTTCAGGTGGTCAGAATCATTGCACAACCAAAACAAGTCTTGGTTCTTTGTGAATAATTGGGACGGTTGCAAGATAAGGGACTCCTGAATAATCCCTTTAGGCCCCTGGGCCTTGGGAGAACAGGTATATAAACTACAGAGATAGGGAGGCTGCGGGATAATCTGAAGACCTCGCCAATCACCGAGAGACGCCAAACAAACATGCGTGATGGACATCACCATATACTAATGAGTTCTTGGTAAAACTATGATAAGCATTTCTTGCAAATGTAGTGAATGTGTACGCTAACATAGCATAAATACCTAGTAAGTGTGTCCTTTTGGGGCACACGTTGGAGGAGAGATCCCCTGCGTGCCCGGTGCCGTAATAAAGAATTCCTGCTTAACAGTCTTCTCACTATTGAGTCTTCAATTCCGGCTTTTCACGGCATCCGTGTGCTGTTCACAATAAGAATAGCAGAAGCAGTTCTGTTTGGCTTTCAACAGAACTCATCTAACTGCACAAAGCGAAAGCTCCGAGCCATAAATTCAACAACAGACCGTTCCTCAAACCTTGGGTGATTTTCGCTGCTAAATCCACAAACAGGTCGCTGTCATTTTCCGTGATTTGGGATTTAGACCTCCATTCCCCTGCTGTGCCTCCCGCTTACCCTGCCGTTTAGGATCGTTCTGCTGCCCTGTGAGGATGTGTGGGGCTGGTTCCCACAGAGATTTTCTCCAGAGATCGGTGTCGCCCAGCAAGAGCCTCGGGAAAAGCACC